CTTGATTAGAGTATCATAAGAATCTCGGAATACGTTCGTACATCGAATAGTGGTAGTAGGGGGCAACTTTGAATTATAGGTCCTTCAATAGGCCGTGACGTATAAAGATCGAATTACGGATCTTGGGATCGAGCCATGATCGATTTATCGTACGGGCGCGCGATAGCCGCCTTCCGGTTTATTAGCTTCCTATCTGGCCGCAACAAGGACGACGCGACAGGAGGGGGTGGGGGAGGAGGGTGCATCGGCATCCTTCCTGAATGCAGGGGCCAGCTTTCGGGGCCACGAGATGGGCAATTGATATTCGGTGCGCGCGGCCGCCATCGAAACGCTTTTTCCAGACGCAGGAAACGGGAGAGCCCGATTCAACGGGCGCGATTATGGTCGATTGATTCTGCAACGCTGCGCCCGGCCATTCGCCGGCGAATGCAAGCGGAAGCTGCGCCGCTGGAGCCGCACGGTCCTCTTTTCGGGCTGATGATTTTTATTTTTTTTTCTTTTTTTTTTTTTCATGCTCGAATCTCGGCTTCTTGAGGCGCGAGAAAATCTTGATCGCCTGAAGTTTATTTTTTTTTTTTTTTTTCTTCTGTCAATGAACGACTACCGAAAATGTTAATGGTAAAAATGTGTGTGCAGTTTTCTCTTGACGCAAAATACAAAGGGCTTTCTTTGTATTTGGAAATATAAAATTTAATAGGAAGGAATATTTGAATATTTGTATTGTGGAAGCTATAAAGAATTTTTTAGTACCCATACATTGATGAAAGATTATGCATTGATAGAAGGATTCAACTCGTAGCTTTAAATTTAAATATGTATTATTATTCGTATTTTTTTGCTGTCCATAAAAATATACACCTTAAATTATGCAAAATATTTTGCAACTGATATAATTGAAAAAAAATGAAGAAAGAAATAAATATACAGATTGTAAATATATTAAAAGTTTCGTGTTTTTTATTCGCAGCTCGGTGTTATTTTTTATTATATATTTCGTGGACTCAAAAATTTATTTTTCCGCAAAGAAAATGAGATAAAAATAATAAAGTTTCTCATTTCGTTCTTTTATGCATTTTATAAAAGATATATATATATAAATTGAAAAATATAATATTTTTGAATATCGTATCACATATTTGACGTGCAATATTTAATTAGTTTCATGCTGAAACTGATATTTTGGGTAACTTTAGGAGAATCAGGGATTGAATTATATAAAATTAACAGTCCACATGAAATATTTTTATCATTACAAATATAATAGTATAAATACGATACTTTTATAAAAAATCAAATAATTAAAAAGTTTGCCGAATTAATTCGAAATTTAATAGCAAAGACATTAGAAATATTCAAAAAATCCGACACATGACAACATTTTTCAATTTTTGGTTTTTTAATTAAAAGTGCCCACTCTTGGCAAGAATATTATTTTTTGGAACACAGTTCCTTCACAGTTGAAAAATTTCTGTTAAATTTCACAGATATCACATGTCCCAAACGGTCCACAGAAATTTTTGTGTTAAGTTAACATAATATGGATATGTTAAATGGAGACACAAATATTGTGTTAATATTTTAACACAAAATAAATGCAAAACTTCAAATAATTTGAAATAAATTTTGTGTAAAATTAACATAATTTTAATGTAAAAATTAACAAAAAATATGTTAATTTTAGATTTTATTATCTCCACTTGTATTATAAAATAGGAAATCAACATATTTTTCTGTAAATTTAACAGAAAAATTTTGTCACTAAAAAGCAGAACATATTTATTGTGTAAAATTAAAAATAGATGCACATTGTGTTATTATTACATTTTCTTTCAGTTGTTTTAATAATTTAACATTTAAGTTCAATTAACAGAACAGTAATATGTTAAATAAACACATAAATGTGTCAAATATTTAACACGAAAATTTTAACGGGAACCGTTTTTAACAAGAAAACACAAATGTTTCTATTGTGCTCAATTCGATATAGGATTTTTTGTATCAGAAAGACATTTTTTTCGATAAAAAAAATACCAGAATCCACGTTTATTTGTACATTTGACACGCTTTACCTCAGAAGCATTCACGTTGTGACTTCCAAATCCATTATGCCGCATTCAAGCGCAATTTCGGGACGAGTCTAATTGGTATCGCTATCGCCGTTAAACAAACCCGGGGACGTGATGAAAGCTCAATCAAAGCTCACCAGATTCTCTCCTCGTCGCGCGATTCCACAGGCGCGGAATACTCGGTCCCGACGCAACAAGCCGACGCGACGCGACGCGACGCGACGCGGCACAATATCATTCAATCCCAAATCTCGCGAATTCTCTCCCAGTCAAAGGCAAGCGGCGCCGCGTCGCGATTAACAGTTCGCCGAATGAAAATTAGGGAGCCTTTGCTCGAATTAATGACGACGACAACACATATACATACACAGAGATAGACTTGATTAATCCCGACTGCCACTTGCTCGCGCGAATGAATGCGACGCTAGCGCCCTCTGCAGAACCTAAATCTAAACCCGGAGGACGGAACCTCGACGCGGCAATTACGATGCGAGATTTGAAGGGGTCGAAGGCCGAAGAGGAGGAAACCAGGAGTGCGCGTGGATCGAGAGGGAGAAGGGTGGATATATCCGTAGAGTTATGGCTGGTATGAAACCCATAGCAAATGATGCAGGCGTACGTGACTGGCAAGCGAAGCGTCGTCCTGGGTCCGGCGCGTCCTCCCAATATGCCTGGCCTGGTCCTGGCCTGGCCGGCTCGATGTAGCTGCAATCAGCAACGTGCGCGCCGCATCCAGGGTGGATTCCACCGAAATAAATTCAATAGAAACACACGTTGCGCGTCGGCATACGGCGCGCTCGGCGAGAGATATATATATATATATATATATATATACGTATATAGGAAGAGAGAGAGAGATGTCATGAAAAGTTGGACGGCCAGCTTGATCTTCGGTCGGACACAATTCTATCCCCAGGAGTTAACCCCTTTGCTAAGCGTAAAATTAATTAATTCCACCGTCGCGTCTCCCTCGGCAGAGATTGGCTGAGAAATATGTATATGTCGCGTCGAGCTCTCTAACTCTCCGAATGCCGTCGAGCTTTGCTGTTATCGTATGCGGGGAGATTATTCAGCTCGTGAATCATAGACACATGAGACATCTTGCCTGGGTGTTTTTGATTTTTCAATTAGAGGAGTGCGTGTCTATTCTTGACAAGAGGATTATTTTTTTGGAATTTAAATCTACAGTGTTTGATGTTGTATAAATAAAATTATACTTGATGATCATCTAGAATCTAGATGAAACTTTGGCTTTGAAAAATATGAATATATTTTTATATTCCTCTTATAATTTACATTTTTTTTATAACTGTGTTTATATAGGCGATTTTAAAAATAATAGTATCTGGATAAATCGCTATATAATTTTATCTTTTATCTAGATATATTCAAATTCAAAATCACCTTCATCTTATCTAAGATGAATTTACATATTTTCATCTCATCTTTATCTAGCTAGTATTGAAGTATTTTTATGTGCTATGACTCTGAACCAAATTATCTGAACATTATTCTACATAATTTAATAGAGCTAACACTTTTTTCATCTAAGATGCAGATATAGATAATACATATCTTTATACAGATGATAAAAATATAACACATAAAAATACTTAATTATTGAAGCAATAAAAGTTTAATATATTTATTTCTTTTATCCTCTTTATAATTTATATTTTTTATAAGTATGTTTACATAAGTGGTCTTAAAAATAATATTATCTGGAAATTATTTAGATAATTCGCCATATAATTTTATCTTTTATCTAATTATATTTAAAATAAAATCATCTTCATCTTATCTAATTGTAAGATGAATTTACATATTTATATCTCATCTTTATCTACCTAATTTTAAAATCATCTAAGCACAACAATTGTTCAATTTAATGGATCTTTTTCATAGAATTTTTACCACAAGAAAACACGATCTTTTTTTTTGATAAAAAAAATAATAAAACACATCTATCAAAAATTCAGGGGATCCCAGAAATAATATTCTGACAAGTTCGCGAAGAACTGCGTGAAAAAGATTAAAACTATTAAATCCGAATTTCTCGTCATCGTGTCAATTCCGTAAAACCAGCAATAAGGTCACGTCGAGGCAAAGGCGACGACATTGTGCGCTCCGACGCTGATGAATGCTGATATATTCAATTAAGGGGATTGACAAGATCTGCGGAAATGTCGTTCGTGATCGAAAGGGAGTAAATACAAGCCGGTTACGAGAGGGTGCGCGCATATATAGTATCCGCAGCGAAGCTGCGTGGCAGACATATTGGATCATCGCGGATACGATACATCAGAATTCCAGCCCCATCACGTTGCTGTCGCCACGTGACGGCGACGTTCTCCATTAAATTTCGCGTAATAGGGCCGACAAGATGTCGGCTAAGCGGAGGAGCCACCCGCAATTCCGAAGGTCGATACTCGATTTCCGCGACACGACTTTCGTTTCAAAGACTCGCGAGAAGAAACTTTAGGATTTTCTTGCTGGTTTCCCTTCGTACTCGACAAGCGCGAACCTACACGTAGTAATGTAAAGTAACTTCTCTTTGTTTTGCGTGGTCTGACATATATTCTTCCACTTTCCAATTCGCGTACTCCTTCGATAATAAGCTTCGAAATTCCATTTATTCTTCCTTTCTCGATAAAAGTAGTGTTCAAGGAGAGTATTTCAAGCAAATTTGTATTATTTTACGATTTTGATTGCAATTGTATTTTTCTCGCTACCCCTCTGTATTTTAAATAATATATAGATATGTGTTTAGAACTTTAGGAGGAAGAAATAAAGAAAAAAAAATTAAAAAGTGTAACAATAAACAGATACTTTACGTATAGGGATAGTGTTTCGAGGGTTGAACTGTAAACGTTTATGTTTCCTAGCGATCTCTTTAGTCAAACGAGACGCTGACGAGACGTTTTGTTGTTGCAGTGAAATACCTGCGGGAAGTGACGCCGTACTTCAGAAAGGCTTCGATCATCCAGGAAGTGGGCTGGGAACTTCAGCGCGGTTTCCTCAGCGCGACGCCGCCGCCACCAAAGTCACCACCGCGAGCGGACACTCGTTATCTGCCATTACAACTCTGCCGACTCACCAGGTCGCATCCCACTTCCGATCCCGGTGAGTCTTATCTTATTGTTAAAGCGGAAGTCGAAGTGCGTTCGAGCGACTCCGTCCACTTTGATAGCGAAGATTAATACTCCCGTAAAATTAGACTTGAAAAGAGCAAAACTTTATAAAAATTAGGATCAAGCTGAATTTTTGTGGAAACTTTTATTTTAATATTTTAATGAAATCCTGAAAAGTATCCTTAATTTCATCTACGGAGTTTTTTATGAGAGGTAAATTTTAGTTTTTTGCCATTATCTCGAAAACTATCAATTTTTCGAGAAAAATAGTTATTATCAAAATTGTAGCTCATAAAATTCTCTACAAAAAAGGTCATTATACTTTTTTTTTTCGTAAAACTAATCGTTTTTGAGTAAAGCGTGCGGTAAGGTTGGAATGTCTATAGTTATATAATCCTTGACTTAATTCGCTCTATATCTTCGAAACGGTTAATTTCACGAAAAAAAGTATAATAACCTTTTTTGTAGAAGATTTTATGAGCTACAATTTTGATAATAATTATTTTTTTTCGAAAAATTCATAGTTTTCGAGATAATGGCAAAAAATTAAAATTTACCCCCTATAAAAAAACGCCCTGGATGAAATTAAGGGTACTTTTCAGAATTTCATTGGAACATCGAAATAAAAATTTTCACAAAAATTCAGCTTGATCATAATTTTTATAAAATCAAAGTCTAATTTTACTGGACTATAACTCTTCTGTCGATGCAAAATTATACTGCGTGTTTTCGACGCTGCGACAATTTTTTTTATAGTCGATACTAGTCACATTTTTAATTTCATACTGGAAAAAAAATCTTGTTGCATTAACAAAAATTCTGTTCGAGAATGAACGAAACAGAATTACTGGTTGAATCTATCAGAATTCTTTTTAATGCAACGAGCATCTTGTTTGCACAATGAATCAGTTGTTTGTGCAAATAAGATGCTTGTTGCATTAAAAGAAAATCTGGTAAATTCAACCAGTATTTCTGTTCATTTTTAAACATAATTTTTGTTATCACAATAGGAAAACTTGTATCTTCTTGTTAAAAACAATTCCCGTGAAAATTTTTGAGTTAAATATTTAACATATTTATACGTTAATTTAACACATTACTGTTATGTTAATTAAAGTTAAATGTTAAATTATTAAAGCAACTGAAAAAGATGTAAAAATAACACACTGTACATCTATTTTTAATTTTACACAATAAATATGTTCTGTTTTATTAGTGATAAAATTTATCTGTTAAAATTTAGACAAAAATCTTGATTTTTTATTTTATAATAAACATTAAAATAATCTATTAAGTATATTAATAACTAATATAAGTATAATAATATATATTATTTTATAAGTGTGTAGAAATGATAAAATCTAAAATATATTTTAAATTACTTGAAAGTGTGTCTCCATGTAACATATATATCTACATTATGTTAAATAAACACAAAAATTTCTGTGGACCGTTTGGGACATGTGATATTTGTGAAATTTAACAGATAGTTTTCAACTGCGTGTGATGCAAGAAAATTTTTTTCCATTACATTGGCAGAAGGGTTAACCCTCGCTAAAGCTCTTGCGGTCTCGGGACTATTACAGGATATGTCCCCGCATCTGTTATAATGTCAACACGAAAAGGTATTATCGCACGAGATGTTTCGTACATCATCGTGTATATCTCTGAGAGATTCGCTCTGGGAAATTCGTCGGGACTGAAATTCATGATTCTTGAAGGAGGCGTGTTAAGACTGTCGTACGATAAATCGAGAATATTCTCATAATGAGAATCTCATTGCATTCGTGTATATATATATATATATATATATATATATGTTTGCTCGTTTATATGATTATTTTCACATCGGGTCTAGAAAACTGATTTCCTGCGCTTTTATTACAGTGTATATCTTATTAACTGAAGTTTCGCGAACTTTATATGACTGCTTCTTATTTCGGAAGTATTAAACTCTCCTCATTTCCGTTTTACTATTTCAGTCTTCGAGAGGCTGTCAAAAGAGTGATTTTAAGAAAACTTATATACATAATTTGAAATATTATATATATATATATATATATATATATATATATACGTAAAACAATTTTTAATATATATGTATATTTAATATATATTATATATATATATATATATATATATGTATATATGTATATATATATATATATATATGCATGGTATATATGTATATATGTATATATGTATATATATGTATATATATATATATATATATATATATATATATATATATATATATATATATATATATACCAGTATCAAGTTGTCAACAGAGATACGCAATTTTGTATATATATATATATATACAAAATTACGTATCTCTGTTGACAACTTGAAATTTAATTGTGCCACCCACGATAACGTTCTAATCTCCTCGTGAACGAGAAAGTAGTTGGAATTTGTTAACTAAGTAACTATAATTGTTTTATTGGATTTCTCTTCTCTGGAGGGAGTGCTTCTTAAAACGATTAATGGGGAAAAGAGTCTCCGCGATTACTTGAAATTTAATCTAAAACTGGAAGTCGTATCTCCTTTTTTCTGTTTCGGTGAAAAGGATTCGGAGGAAAAGAGAAGAGAGAGAGAGAGAGAGAGAGAGAGAGAGAGAGAGAGACAAACGCGGGAGTATAAGAATGGAAAATACAAGCGGGGCAAGTCGTGCGTTCTTGATTAACGAAGTAGCGCAATCTAGATCGCGGCCGAAGAGTTCAGTAAGGAATCGGAGAAAAGATCTCTCGTTTACCTATTTGCCAAGAAACGACGGCGGTAAATGGCCTCCACCCTGGCAGGATAAAAGTCCGGTCCTTTTATCGGAGAGACAGTCGCCTCCGTCCGCGATAGTGATTAACCGGGGGGATGAGTTAGCACGAAGGGTCTATCTCTCCTTCTTCAGTCTCCTCCTCCACCCTCGGATGGGCTCTCGCAGTGAGTTAATGAAAGGCGAATGGCTCCTTAATTCTGTAAAGCTTCTCCCGTTCCTCTTCTCTCTCTCTCTCTCTCTCTCTACGTTTACTCTAAGCTCGCCGTCTCCGTTCAGGGCCGCCCTTCGCGAATTTTCGCCTCTCTCGAGGGTTGTTAGCGGTGTCCCATATGCGGCGGTCGCGTTACATTCGAGCGCTTTAGTTAAGCACCTTCATTATCTTCGCTCGTATTGTCACTTACTTGGCTGTGATTTCTGCCTTACATTCTTTTCGCTTATTTTATTTTTTCATTTCGCGACGACAAAGGGAAAATGTTCTAAAAAGCTCAGGAAAATCCAGCCTCTTGCCAGAATCGGCATCTTCCAATTTAATTAAATAATATACGTATATAAACGATCAATTTTCCTGGAATTAATAAAAGTTTCATTGTTATAATAAAAATTTTTCTCTATAAATTAATAACATATATACACCGTTGGAAGCGAGAAGCAAGAGTTGTAAGAGAACTCTTGTAGCTGGAAGGGTTGAATCCGACCCTGGGACTCTTCTCTGGGACGACAAAAGAAAAACCGCGAGGGAGAATAGCTGCGCTGTTAAGAGAAGGACGCGGAGGGAGGGAGGGAGGAGACGGGGATGGACAATAAGGGGTAGCTGCGAACTAAGAAACGCAATCAGAGACGTGCCGTATCTCTTGCCGGCATCTCAGCCGAGCCGTGTCATAGAGTAACGCTTTATACTGATACTTTCGCACGCTGATATTTCTTAAACCAATCCGCGTCAGTGAATTGCATCCGCAATGCGGCATGAAAAAGGGTTCCGGATTTATTAATTAATCATTAAGGGGATGCAGACCAGGTCTGTTTTATCGGCAAATATTATTTTTATTTAAGGAGATGCTGCCGTTGTTCTGTTTTACCGACTTTAAGTTAGGTTAGGTTCACTTTTTATTGAATATACAGATTGAAAAATCTTCCACAATGAAAGTACTGATAATAATGAATGGGAAGCGCTGTCCAGCAACTAATTTTTGCTATTTTTTGCCTCGACATCGATTCCGCACGCAAATTTACATAATTAATTCAAGTACGAATCTTTTGATACAGGCTTTTAATCTCATTTTTATTACTTCTGTATTATTCTTTCATGTCATCTTTATTGGGAGCGTCATATTTTGTGTACAAATAAACTGCAGAACTTGTATTAAATAAGTATTGTTATGAGCTGATGCAAGAGGCCGATAAAAACTGTTATTTTTTACTTTTATTGTTTTTTTATTTTACAAAATTACAGCGCTTCCCGTTCATTATAATCAGTACTTTAATTGTGGAGAAGAATTTTTCAATCTGTGTAGCCAATAAAAAGAAAAGCCCTTGAACTCAAAGTCGGTAAAACAGTCATGGTCAGCATCCCCTTAAGGGGATTTATTGACTGTTAAGCACCAGGTGCTTTAATGACTGTATTATCGACAAATATTATTTTTATTTAACTCTTTATTGGCCGTACAGAATGAAAAATCCTTCACTAGAATTAAAGTATTCATAATAGCAAATCTGAGCTACTACATAAGTATAAAGAACAAGAAAGCTAAATAATTAGTCTTTCTATTTTTTTTGCATTGGGTCAACCTAATCTAAACCTAAGCGATAAGAAAACTGTAATTATTGAACTTTCTTGATTTCTTTTTATATACACATATAGTCCAGATATGTTATTTGATGAATATTTGTCGATAAAATAATCAGCATCTCTTTAAGTTTCCATATTTTGTTTATTAAATTATGCATGCAAAATTGCGACGCAATTTACCAAGCAAATTTCGAGAGTAAAGGGAGAAACAATTTATTCGTAGAGGGTTGCATATCTTACGTGTTATTTTTTTCAGATTGGTAGATAGATGACATTCTTGCCAGATGATTAGATCCGGTGTCGGTTTTCGAGCATCGGTCACCTCTGTAACGATCTCGCGGACAAACGGCGAACGTTTCTCGTCAACGATAAATTTTACCGCCGGCGCAGTAAATTTTACGTCATTGCCGCGCGACTATGATTGCATCAT